GATGCTGGGTCGAGCCACCTGAAGGAGGGGGGAGGTGGCGAAAGGATCGAAGGGCAAGGGAGACAGTCCGTCGTGTCACGCGCGGTGTGGGTCTGGTCTTCGAGGGGGGACGCCCTCGGTAAGTGCTCGTAGCCTGCGAGTCATCGGGCTGGGCAATCGGACCCAAAGCGGCACTAGGGACCTCCCCCGTCTCTGGGGCCGTCTCCTGTCTGTCAAAGTGGACGAATGCGCTAGAGGCGAAACTCTCGCACGAGACGTCATGCTGAGCGCGGTTAAGACCGCATGCCTGCTCCTGGATGGGAGGGAGAGAGGCTCCACTCGGTGGAGCACTCGGGTGCTCACCAAGAGAGTGAGGCTGAAGAGTAGCTATGTGCTCAGCCGAGCTCCCAAGCTCAGTAGAGGGAAGATGTGTCGGCTCTTCCCCTTTCGGGAGAGCGGTGGCGGGAGCTGTCCTCATCTCCAGGGAGCGGTCCTGGCTAGATGAATGGACAGACAAAGGAACAGCACCTCGAGTGCTGTCATCAGCTAAGTGAATGGACGTACCACTGGTCGAGGCATCTGGCTGCTCTAGATCCTCAGCTAGGAGGTCATCATCGTCTAAAAAAGGAAGGTCTAAGGACCTATGGGGATCACTGGTAGAGGCCTCAGGCTCATCCTCTGCCTCAGGGGAGAGGACTGCAAAGAACGAGTGATTAGCCTTAAAGGCCGACTGAAGGGTGTGCCTGGGAATGAAGCCCGAGGTCTTGGCCTTGGGCCCAACAGAAGCCAACTGCTTAGGCTGGTTAGGATGAACATCCTTTCCAGTTTGGGCAGTGGAGATCATCACAGCCTTGCCCTTATCCTTGACCCCCTTTGGGGATCCGGGCGCATGGAGAGGGCCTTTGCCCTTTCCCTTCGGTTCCCTCCGGCCATTGGAGGGTCCCGGCTGAGTCGCACGGAGGCGCGGAGGCAGAGTGGGGCGTGGCTTATTGCCACTAATGTAGCAATCAGCCGCTATGTGCCCCACGTGGCTGCAGGAGGTACAGAAAGCGGGAATCTTCTCGTAGATCACCCGCTGAGTAAAGGACTCCGAGCCCTGCTCAATCTCAATCTCATGGACGGGCTCAGCCCTGAGATCGATCTCAACACAAAATCGAGCCACATTAGCCCTCGACTGGAGGGCTGTCGGGGCATCAATGCGGATCGGTTTTCCGACACACTTTGCCAGTGTGGTGATGGAATCCCGGTGGTAAAGATGTGGTGGAAGGCCAGGGAGGCGGCACCACACGGGGACGACAGGCGTCTCCGTCTTCGGGTTAAACCCGGAAGTGTACTTGAATACCCTAGCTGGGCATCGGCACACGGAAATAGAGGTCTTAAGCCAAGTCTCATTATAGTCCTCGGGAAGGTCGAAGGTGACTAAGAGGTGGTTGAAATTGTACCACTTAAATGAGAACCTACCCTTAAACCCCAACTGTCCTAATCCAGCAGATATAACTCGAGGGGGAGGGATGTCATAAGAGAACTTAAATACCAAGGTGTTAGCTAACTTACCGGCGAGGGTGTCAGCTTCGGCCTGTGAGAATCGAGCCTTCACTTTGTTGCCCTCCGAACGGATGATGGTCCCGCAAGCATGGTCATAAGCATCGTCTAAAATGAAATCCTTGGGTGTCGGAAGCGTGCCGCCCGTGCCGCCCTCTCTTCTTCCTGTGACAGCCTCCCGGAAGGAAAAAGGAGTGGGAGTGGCCGTTGGAGTGCCCGTCGGTGGTGTCGGGAAGGGGCCGGAAAGATGGGCCATGGACGTCTTGCTTGGGCCCGGAACAACCACACCGTCTTCACGCACATACAAAATGTCTGGATTGGGGTCACCGGAGGTGGCTATTCCGGCGGGTTGAACGGTCGGACGAGGCGAAATTGGCCGAGATCGAGCTCCGGGGCCACCGGCCGATTTGGATGGTTCGCCGGAGGAGGTGCGGTCGCCGGGCCCGACACTGTGGGTCGGTCCTAGGATTGCCGGAGAGTCGGTCCTGTCGTTGGCCGACGGGATCCGTGTGGTAGGCTGGGAAATTGGATTGAACTGGGAGAGATGAAGTGAGGTTTGGGCTGGGAAAGCAGTACGGGCTGGAAAAGCTGTGTTATTTGTTCGGCCCAAGGATGTTTTTGGTGTTTGGGCTGGGAGATCTGTTTTGGGTTGTGGGAGTTTTGCGGGCCCGAAAGATTGTGAGGGTTGAGTAAGTTGATGAGGCTGAGAGCAGATAGGGTGGGCCGAAGGAATTGGCCCAGTAGATTTTCGGCCCAAATCATTTTCCCTTAGCTCAAGGGCGGCCAAATGTCGAAACCCTACCTGGGATTGATGTTGACCAGTCAGCAGCAAGGGGGGAGCTGCGATAACCATCTTCTCCGGCAAGGTAAGTTCCGACGATGGCCCGTAGGACCTGACGATAGCCGACGGAGGTTTTGCATTTGTTGTGGATCCGAGCTTGTCTGACGGAGAGGTTGTCGCTACCGTGGAGCTGCAGATGGGAGGTGTGCGATTTGCTGCGGCCGACATAATTGATCC